CCCCCCCCTTCAGTGACCCCCCCCCTTCAGTGACCGCTGCAGTCACCACAGAGTTGCACTCAAACCGCCTTTATTCTTGGACTCGGGTCAAGGAATGTGTTTTTCTCTGGAACAACCACTAATTGTGACCGACAGTGAAAAACTGAAGCCTGCTTGGTGTCGTTTTCTTCCCAGCACTTGACCTTAACTCACGCTGCAGATTTAACTGTTAAAGCATCCCAACTTAGTCATTTAAAATGTAACACAAAGTAGAAATTGATCAAATGGAAAGCTCTCAACACCAAGTCATCGAAAAGGCTTGACTTAAAATATTTAGACAATTTTTTCAATTCCTTTATTTCTTTATTTTTATTTTTTTCATACATTTAAAATTCTTTTTTCTACTTTTTTTAGATTAATATTATCATTTAATTATTATTTTATTTTTTATATTTTTTGCTCTAGCAGGCACATTAATGAATATTGCTGTAAATACGCCAGAGTTAACCAAGAGCCTTTTTTCCCTCTGTACCTGCAACAGATGTTTTAAGGTCACCTTAAAAACCAATTAAATATAAAATAACAAGTCAATACAATTATTAAAAACATAGAGGTTCACTATACTGTTATTCTTACATGTATGTAGACAGTAAAACAGTTCTAGGAAATAATAAATGTTAAATATGAATGTAATAACCTCAAAATGTTTAATTCTTGCAAGATAAGTTAATATCCTGCATTTTAACATTTTACTCAAGCAGCTAAATATAATCAGGAAGAAGTACTCCTCGTTCATAATGTGCCCTTATTAGTGCTGATTCAAATTGAAACAGAATTGTCATGTTGTTGCTTGTGAAGGCTAATGTTATCTAATTAAATATAGCTGTTGCCTTGGAAATGAAGTAGAAGGCAGAAAATGAAGTTATACAAACTATATGTATTTAGTTACAGTGAATATACAAAAAATACTTTAAATACTGTGGCGTTAGTTAGTGATGAAAACCAGAGTCCAGTCTGCTCTGATTGGTTAGCTGGCCGGCTCTGTTGTGATTGGTCAACCACTTGGTGATGTCCCGCCCCTTTGCCTATCACGTACAATGTGTTGGAGCACTAGTAAATAGGAGCGTGAGTGTTACATAATGATGTCACTATGTTCTGGATGATCATTTAAACAGAAATGAAATGTGTTGCTAATACAGGTGGAGCGATGTTTTGTTAATTAAATATACCTGTCAGATAAAGGACTGTATGAGCCTCTGAAGAAAGAGTCAAATAGACGGAATCAGTGAGAGAAAATTGTATATAAGTTCATTAAATGTACTTATGTAATACTGCAGTATAGTCCTAATAGCTGAGGTGGAGTTATTTGTGTAATAAAAATCTCAAAGTTACAGGAAGAAAATGTTCCCTTTGCCTCGCTAATATCCTTTCTAGCACCCTGTACATAATTATCTGCATCAAGTGATTTTATAGCACACGGGCTCGGTGGGCTTCTCCGTTAAATAGCTGGAGAAAATGAAAACTTATAACCTCTCAGCAGGCAAATTAAAGTGTAGAGGCTAAACAAGTGCCCCCTAAACACCCCCAATTGTAAATCCAGTGAGCACACACCGGCTAGACATGTGGAAGAGGTGCTTTACTTTTCTAAATTGGGACATAGAAAGAACAAACATCAGAAAATGGCTCCACTCTCACAGCTCTTAAATCAGATGCTGGATGAAACACCAGGCTCCGGTTTAAACAGCTCTGTGTGTGTGTGTGTGTGTGTGTGTGTGTGTGTGTGTGTGTGTGTGTGTGTGTGTGTGCATGTGTGTGTGTGCGTGGATGTGTGTGTGTGTGTGTGTGTGTGTGTGTGACTGTGTGTGTGTGACTGTGTGTGTGTGTGTGTGTGACTGTGTGTGTGTGTGTGTGTGTGTGTGTGTGTGTGTGTGTGTGTGTGTGTGTGTGTGTGTGTGTGTGTGTGTTGAAGAGGATTTCTTACAACACCTCCATTTCCATTTAAACAAAAACCAATAAATACTTTGAACAAACATCTGTACATTGAAATGTATTCTCACATTTCAGATGTATCCACTGATACACATATGGTGCTCCATACGGTCTTTAACTGGCTTTAAACTGGGAAAAATACAGTTTATTAAGCATTAAACACACTATTTCAAACAAAAAAGTATGCTGAATCAACAAAAAAAAGAAAAAGTATGCCGTGTTTGATTATTATTATCTTTAATACAAGAGGCATGAAGAGATTCTTACATAAATACACTTATTTTAACTTCATTAATCCAAGTTTCTGGACATTATTTGGAAAAATATTGTAATATTATCGTATTAAAATAACATTAGCGGCAAATACCCTCAGGTAACATCAATCAAAAAGTCTTATTGTCTGATCAAACAATAACAATATAATTAAATAAATCCAATTAATAAGAGAAATGAAACATTATAATTGTTGTGTGTGTTTAATCTGAATAATCTTATGAACGACGGTCCCGTTTGCTCTCCTGTTGCAGTGAGATTTAAGATCCTGGATAAGGCCACCTGCAGATCCGCGGCATCAAGAAGATCGATGAGGGCATGTACAACTGCGAGGCGAGAGTCATGGCCCGCGGAGAGATCGACTTCAAGATGATCAAGGTCGTCGTTAATGGTGAGAATCCGTCTGTTTCACCTCCTGTTAAAGGAAGGACAACCATCAACCTGCTCTTTTGAATAAACCTTAACCAGCCAATGATAAGGATGAGTACATCAATTCATCTGTCTGCAACTCTTCGCTCAAGAGCAACATTTCATCTGAATTACTTTTTAACATATGATTTTATTTGTATTTAATTATATTTAAATGTCTTTTTAAATTACAAATGATAATGTTTGTATTTCCTCCTGTGTATCACCACTGATACATTTTACACTTTGATCTCCTCTCCCTCAGTGCTCCCCACCATCAGGGCGAGGGTCTCCGATGTGAACGCCACCGCTGACAACTCTGCCTCCGCCCTGCTGGCCTGCGACGCCGACGGCTTCCCCGAACCCACCGTCACCTGGGCACAGTAGACAACAACCCCACACAACACACACACACACGTATACATCACTTCAGGGGACATTACATTGACTTACATGCATTTCCTGGAGACCTACTAACCCTTATCCTAACCCTAACCAAGTCTTCACCCTAAAATTAATGATTCCCCTCATGGGACCTCCATGATGTGAGGTGAGTCCCCACACGTGACTGTGTAAACAGATGTAGGTCCCCACAAGGACAGTAATGCTGACATGCACACACACACCTGAGCTGCACACACTCATATACTGTATCTCTGAGCTGTTGTTGTTCTAACCTCTTTCTCCTGTCCTCAAGTGGGAACATAATGTTAAGCAAACACGTGAAGAAGAATTAATTAGAAAAAGATAGATAACATCAGACAAACATAAAACTGAATAATACCACGGTTACATTTTTAACATGATCCTCATCTCATATAAAAAATATATGATTGCAGGACAGTTTTTTTTAAGAATGTATTAAATCAATGCATTATCTTTTATTTTTTTATGAGAAATACCCGGTGTATATAATCTTAATCTAAATTTTAAAAAACGGAAATAAATAAACCAAGTAGTTTTGGGTGTTAGTTTAGTAGTTTTTAAATATTGAAAATGTAAATACAATTAATAATCCTATTGGTTATATTGTTAAAAATCACTACACTAAAGTTAAAAAGAGCCAAATTAAACATTTGAATAAAGCGTGTTGTGCCCTCTGTCTCCGGCTGCTGGACACGATGACAACGTGCAGAAACAAGAATATAAGACATGTAGAGAATTTATATTCATCTTTAACTTTGTGAGAAAAGTCAGGACTCTCAACACACAAAAAGAAAAATAAGATCCTCTGAAGACCAGCTGTGACGCTGACATCGAAATATCAAGTGTTTAATGTAGTTATGTTAAAACAAAGAGTTATTTAAAAATACAATTTAAAGATGGAAGCATTTTTGAACATACAAATATGCTAATGCTACGTATGCAAGGCAGCTATTTGGTTCAAATACATCAGAACTCCTGTAGGGAGGAAACACTGGAGAACAACGTTTGAATTGTTGTTGTTTTTTAAATGTAATACTTTAGATGTGATCACACCTGTCCAAAGAATAATAATATTACACTTTTTTACATTGTCCTTTAAGCCAGGGACACACAGTATCACTTATCATACTTATTCAAATACATGTAACACAGCTGTGCTCCAAAAACTGAAAACTATCACTACCTCTTTTCTTTATGAATTCAACCTTCGGATTATGACTGATACAAAATATGTAAACTTGAGTCTTTCCAGCGTTACATTCTTCCGACATCCTGTGGACCCTTTTATTGGACAAACACAACATAACCACTTCCTGGAGATGTTGTTGTGATGTGTTTGTAAATATCCCATTAATATGAACAAGGACGGCCTTGCCTGCAGAGACGATGAGATGTTCATTCGCTTCCACACAGATACAAGAGAGCCTCTCACACACTACTTAACATGCATTGATCTAACACACACACACACACACACACACACACACACACACACACACACACACACACAACAACACAACACAATGTGTGTGTGTGTGTGTCAGAGTTTTAACAACGTGCTGGATGAA